CTGTGGCTGGCTCTGGCAAGCCTTTAGCAGGGAATTAAAAGAATAAAGATGTTACGTCGCAGGCAAACAGCAGTCCTGAAAATGGAGTTGTGCAAGTCTGTAGAGTACTGCTATGCTTCCAGAAGCGGCATTACTTTTAAAGAGCTACAATGCTGGTCCAACAAATACTGATGAATTACAGTTTTATTTGCAGGTTTTTCAAGGCACCGCACAGCAGCATTGCTGTAGTCGAGAACAAGACCCTCTACTTGCCTACATCCTTCGACATCAAAGCATTAAAAACTGACGAAGATGAGCCTCTCGAACACAGAGATGCTGTTGGGGGATTCATTATCCCCCTTCAGCCAGCCGTGTTCGGTGGCTGAGGAAGGTCTGGGACTCCTAGATGACTACCTGGAGGTGGCCGAGCCCCTCGGTTCGCATGGGTTCTCCAGCGACAAGGCTAAGGCAGTCTCCTCCAATTGGCTTGCTGTGGACAGTTTAGGCAACACCATAGATAGCAGCCAGGGTAAGGTGTTAACTTATTTGCATAAAGTACATTGATTACAACAACACATAACCTATTTAGTAATGTTGCAATTAAAAAACTAAATTGTTAGGTGTTCATAAATGTCAAGGCAACCTCGCATCCGTACCTCTGCTTGGACAGTGTATGTGCCACACTGCTCACACAGTACAGAATTTCTGGCTATTGGACTGGTGTATGGTGAAGTGACACTTCTGTTGTCCTTTTAACAACATACTGTTGTAATGTGGTACTACTCTTTGGCAGAGGTCACAAGAAATGAGCATGGCTGTGTGTTTTGAATGGCCCTGAATTCTTCAGGTGTCGGAGTAAGAGGAATGGAATGTTGGAACAGCTGACAGCTTACGTTGTACCCTGCAGTCTTTTGCAGCTAAATGGCAGGTTTTTTTTTTTCTGAGGGTTGAATTTCTTCATACCAATGTAAGGGAGAGGGGAAGATGTTGAAATGTGAGTTTTAGATTGTTTTCAAGAAGCTTCAAGTTGCACTGTTTGCTGGTTTACTGAAATGGTAATTTTTCTGTTGTGCAGAGGATGCCTTCTCTGGCATGGAGTGGATGGTGGAGAAGATGGATCTGAAGGAATTTGATTTTGATGCCCTGTTAGGTATAGAACATCTGGAAGCCACCGTCTCACCAGACGAGCTGATGGCCACGTTGGAAGACACGTGTGATCTATTTAACCCTACCATCCAGGAATTTCACAACAAAGAACCTCCACTGATAACTGACCTAATCACCCATTTCCCCGAATCTCCCATTGGTGCAGATCCCATGGCCCCATTGGCTTCCCTTTGGTCTTTCCCCCTCTCCCCAGGGTCTCTGACTTCCACTCCAGACCATTCATTTAGTTTAGAACTAGGTAGTGAAGTGGATGTTCTGGAAGGAGAAAGAAAACAGGAGGGCCCCACCTTTGTGGTAGTGATGACCAAGTCTGAGAAAGAGGAGGAGAACCATTCCGATGATAGTGGAATATGCATGAGCCCAGACTCCTACCTGGGGACACCCCAGCACAGTCCCACCAATTCACTTGGATCCCCCAATGACAACCAGTTCCCTACAGATGCCGGCTGTGGCTCTGTGCGCTCCAAGCCATACGATCATCCTGCAGAGAAGGTAGTGTCGGCAAAGATGAAAGGAGAAAAGAAAATAGATAAGAAATTGAAAAAGATGGAGCAGAATAAGACAGCTGCCACGCGTTACCGGCAGAAGAAGAGGGCGGAACAGGAGGCGCTGTCTGGGGAGTGCAGAGAGTTGGAGCAGAAAAACCAGGCCCTGAAGGAGAAAGCAGATTCCCTTAGTAAGGAAATCCAGTACTTAAAAGATCTGATTGAGGAGGTACGCAAGGCCAAGGGCAAGAGAGCTAGAGTCCCCGAGTAGGGTAGTCAGCAGTTCCGTGTGCATGTATATACGCTCGCCACTAAAGCTGTGTATTGCTGTCTGAATAAATTATTTTATAGTAAATGCAATTATGGTGTGCGATCACTGGGTACCTGTAGAACAAGCACCAAGTCTCGGTGTAAATACGAATGCCATCGGGGGTCTGGAGGAGAGCGTGGTGTAATGCACCGCTGGGCAGGGGATGTGCTGCGAGTGTGTGGAAAGCGCTTCCAGTCTGGTCAATAAATGAGTGACGCAAGTGGGATGTCATTGCTACAATTCATGGGTGTTTGGTAATAACCAGGGGGATCGTGCTGAGGTGCCCCAGGCTTTTCAGTAGCAAAGGCATCGGCCTGTTGGAAGAATTTCAGTGGGAGAGCCTATAGAACAAGGACCAGGTGTTACCTGGGGTGGGGTTCCAGGCTTTCTGGAGGAGGGGAAAGGACCAAGACACAAAACATGGAAACAAAAATGAGGTTCAAGAAATGAGCTGGCTGGGAGATGAGTCCAGAGCTGGGGATGGTAGTGTTGGAAGCGGCGCTTCTGGTTTCTCCTTGACTCCCTGCGAGTCCTGGCATGAGTCTAGAACATGAGCAGGGGGAGTGTTCCCGGCTGGGGCTGGGGTAGGGGCTCCTCGTGCTGGCTTGGTCAACTGGGCCGAATGGGTTGGGTCACTCTGCGAGCTCTCAAGGGTGAAGATGTTCGTGTGCTAAAGCGTGGAAAACTTGGGGGCTGCTTCAGCCAGCCTCTGAAGGATCAAATTTGGAGGTGCAAAGGTCAATTTGACTTCTACCAAGGGAACGGAGGAGTTGGTGGGTGAAGTCCAGCCCTAGTCCTGAGGCAGCGGTGCAGCGGGTGAGGTGGGGGTGTGGGGTGTGCCGGAGCAGCGTGTGTGTGTGCCGGGGATATGGCGAGGGGTTGTTGACGGAGCTGCAGCGCGGCTCCTGGGGCTAGGGCTTCCCAGCGGGGCGGCGGCAGGCGAGCTAACGAGCTGAAGGTGCGGCAGCG